GGCCCTGGCCTTAGTCTCTGATGCCATAGCCTCTTGTGAGAGCAGAAATGGGAAATACAGTGGTAGGGGTGGGTTGGGTGTCCTGTGGATGGTGAATAGCGGAGGATCCCCTCAGGGTGACACTAGGTGTTAACACCTCTTCCACTCTCAGTAGTGGGACCCCAGGGCTCTGGTGGCCACTGTGACCAGCCCCAATATGTATTAGAATATTAAATAGTTCAATAAAAGAATTCAGTCAGAGCCGCGCGCGGTGGTGGCGCACGCCTTTAATCCCAGCACTCGGGAGGCAGAGGTAGGCGGATCTCTGTCAGTTCGGGGAGACCAAGCCTGGTCTACAGAGAGAGTTCCAGCACAGGCTCCAAAACAATACAGAGAAACCCTGTCTCAAACAAACAAAACAACAAACAAAAACTTCATGAGAAATGGCTTTGCTAGTCCTTCCAGGCCTGGCTCCGTTTTGTCACCTTGGACAAGGTTCTTGTCACACACACCTTCATTAAGGTCCTGGTCACACCTGTCCCAGAGCAGCTCTTCCTAGCCATGGAGGCAGAGGCAGAAGGATCAGAAACTCAAGGTCATCCTCAGCTACAACCCCAGGCCAGCCTGGGATACATAGAGAAAACTTGTTCCTCCCCTTCCCCAAAATAAGGATGAGGAGAGGGCAGATGAAGAAAAAAGAAAACAAAAACAAAAACCCTCTGGACTCCACCAGAAAACATCATATCTGATGAACACTTTCAGCAACATCGTAGGACACGAGCACATCCTACAGGCACCAGTAGCGGTTATGGAGCTGAGACCCAACATCAGTTGATGGAACATTACCTAGCATGCATGGAGCCCTGGGTTAAACTTCCAGAATGGCGTAAACTGGGCGTGGCGCAGCACACCTTGTAATCCCAGCCTTCTGACAGAGGCAGGAGGATCGGGCGTTTGAGGTTATCTACACATCGATTTGAAGTCTAGCCTGGCTGCACAAGACCTTGTCTCAAACAAAACAAGACAATCAGTAAGGTTGGTTTTTTTTAATGCCAATAATGAATTTGCCGAGAACAATTAGGACAAATTTTCCATTCACATCGGTTCAATGAAATAAATAGTGGGGGCAGATAAGAGGAGGGGAGTGATTGGAATGCATCCTATCCATGTGTGAAATTGTCAATGAACAAAATCTACTAACAAAAAATAAGTAAGCAATGGTACATGTAGAAACAATCGTAATCAGGGAAGCCTCTCTACACTGAAAGCTCCAAGACTCTTAAACAAGAAACTGAGGATGATGCCAGATGATAAAAAGAATCTCTTCCAGGTTCATGAACTCACAGAATCAATACTGGGAAAATGACCATATTACCATAAGTAATCCACGTATACACTGCAAGTCCCATCAGAATTTCAATGATAATGCTGGATGTGGTGGCACACACTTTTCATCCCAGCACTCGGGAGGCAGAGGCAGGCGGATCTCTGTGAGTTTGAGGTCAGCCTGGTTTACAGAGTGAGTTCCAGGACAGTCAGGGCTCCACAGAAAAACCCTGTGTTGAAAAACAAAACAAAAAACAAAAACAAAGACAAAACAATGACCTTCTTCACAGACCTAGAAAAAACAATCCTAAGATTCAAATGGAAACAAAAGACCACAAAGAGTCTAAGCACTCCTGATCAGAAAGAACACTTCAAATTATATAAAAAGCTGTAGGGATAGTGACAGCATGACACTATCACCAAACCCAGACATGTGGACCAGTGACATAGAACAGAAGACACTGAAAAGAACCTTGTGGTGGTCTGGATACAAATGACCTCCAAAGACTCACCAGGGTGTGGCACTATTAGGATCTTGTTGGAGGAGGTGTGTCACTGGGAGTGGGCTTAGGGGTTTCAAATGCCCAAGCCAGGCACAGTCTCTCTCCTCTCTCTCTCTCTCTCTCTCTCTCTCTCTCTCTCTCTCTCTCTCTCTCTGTCTCTGTCTCTCTCTCCCTCTCTCTTTCTCTCTCTCTCTCTCTCTCTCTCTCTCTCTCTCTCTCTCTCTCTCTCTCTCTCTCTCTCTCTGCTGCCTGCTGATCCAGATGTAGAACTCTCAACTTCTTCTCCAGCCTTGTACGTGGAATTTTCTGTCCCTCCAGCCAGCTCCCAAATAACCACACGCAGACATCTTATTAATGATAAAAAGTTCATCAGATAACTAAGGCTTGTTACTAACAAGCTCTTGTTTTGTTTTGTGAGACAGAGTTTCTCTGTGTAGCTTCGGAGCTTGTCCTGTAACTAGCCAGCTCTTGTAGACCAGGCTGGTCTTGAACTCACAGAGATCTGCCTGCCTCTGCCTCCCGAGTGCTGGGATTAAAGGCGTGCACCACCAATGCCCGGCCCAACTCACAGTTTTTTAAATCTATGTACTACCACACGGCTCATGGCTTGACACCTCATCTTTCTACACTTCCTGCTTCCTCCATGTGTGGCTGTCAACTCTGCCCTTCTTCACCCCAGAGCTCTCCCCCTGTCCACAAGTCCCACCTAACTTCTTCCTACCTAGCTATTGGCCTTTTAACTCTTTATTAAACCAATGAGAGCAACACATCTTCAAAGTATACAAAAAAATTGTTCCACAACACAGCACCGTGTCTTCCCTCATGTTACCTCACTCCCCACCGTGATGAGAATGGATTAAGCCTCTGAAACTGTAAGCCAGTCCTAACTGCTTTCCTTTTCAAGACTTGCTGTGGCCATGGTGTCTTTTCACAGCAATAGGACATTGTGTTGTAATTTAAAGAACAGTTCGAGAGAGAAAGAGGCCATGCAACAGAGCCCATGTGGAGGTTTTTTTGTTTTGTGTTGTTTTAATTAAGGGAAAGGGAATGGGAAAATGAGGGAGGGGAGGGGGGACACCAGCCTCTAGGGACAGGAGCAGTAGAAAAGAGAGGCAGAGAAGCAGAGTAAGAGAGAGAGAGAGAGAGAGAGAACAGAGAGAGAGAGAAAGAGAGAAGGATAGGCGGTGGGCAGGCTCTTTTAAAAGGGAACATAGGGAATGTGCACAGGAGGTGCTCTTAGTGGCTGCAGCTGAGGGTGTGTCCTGTCAGAACCCCAAGGGCAGGGCAGTACAGATGCCTGAATACTAACACATGGACTAAGACAAACCAAATAGCTAAGGGCACACACCTAACAAAGTCATAGAAAGCATGCATTGGGAGTTGGAGAGATGGTTCAGTGGGAAAGAGCACTGGCTGCTCTTCCGGAATATCCGGGTTCAATTCCCAGCATCCACATGGTGGCTCATGACCATCTGTTAATTCTTTTTTTTTTTTTTTTTTTTTTTTTTTTGGTTTTTCCAGACAGGGTTTCTCTGTGGCTTTGGAGGCTGTCCTGGAACTTGCTTGGTAGTCCAGGCTGGTCTCGAACTCACAGAGATCTGCCTGCCTCTGCCTCCCGAGTGCTGGGATTAAAGGCGTGCGCCACCAACGCCCGGCGACCATCTGTTAATTCTAATCCCAAGGATCCTGATGTCCCACCATGCACGAACATGGTGCCCATACATGCATGCATGTATGCAAAACATTCATATACAGGGAGTTGAGGAAACAGTGCATAGGAAAAAGAAAATGTTCCATAAACGACGCTGGCAAAACTGGAAACACTCCCGAGAGAAGGAAGCTGGGTGCTTGTCTTTCACCCTGCACAAAAATATATTCAAAGCGGATTAAAGACCTTAACTTTAAACCTGATATCCGGCTGGGCAGGAGAGGCACATGACTTTAATTCCAGCACTGGGGAGGCAGAGACAGGGAGATCTCTGTTAGTTCAAGACCAGTCTGGTCTACAGAGTGACTTCCTGGAAATTCTCGCCTTTAATCCCAATACTCAGGAGGCAGAGGCAGGCAGATCTCTCAGTTCAGGGCCAGCCTGGTCTACACAGAGACTTCCAAGTCAGCCAGGTCTACCTAGTGAGGTCGTCTCAAACAACCAAACAATAAGCAAAAAAACACCTGCCAGTCACTAAATGAGCTGACCAAAGAAGAAACACAGACAAATAAAAGTTTTAAGGGTTTTATGTCCTTAGTTAACAGAGAAATACAAATTGTAGCTACTCTGAGATCCCATCTCACCTGGGTCAGAAGGGGTACATCAAGGAAACAAATGACGAATGTGGGGGAAGGGGAGCCCTGTATCTCCTGACTGTGGGTGTGATCCAGTGTCACCACAGTAGGAACCAGTATAGACGTTTCTTAAAAAACAAAACAGAAAGAGAACAACCACAGGACACATCTCTGCCACACCTGGACAAAACCCGGGAGGCTCTAAGCCCCACCCCAGAGATATTTGCACACATGGTCTTAGCTGCTCTAGTCACAATAACAAAGAAAAGAGACTATCCCAGCCGTCCGCCAGCAAACAACTAATGAAAAATATGGGAACCATGTACAACAGGATTTCACTCAGCCACATAGAAAAAAATGAAACTCCCAGATGTTCAGGGAAATGGATGGACAGGGTATTGTCATGGTGACCCAGACTCAGAAAGAGACACCCCACAATCCATTCCCACGAGAGCCTAGCACACATTCTGAGACTAGGAAGCAGAACTAGAGGGGGAAAATGAAATTTTGTGGGAGTAAGGGGGAGGGAGGAGGGGGAGAGAGGACATCTCATGACCCTGGAAAACTAGAGGGAGAAGGATACCGGGCTAGGGTAGGGATCCAAACCCTGGATGAAAATGCAATTCCAGAGTCTAACACGTTGATGCACTAGGATAAGCGGTGAGATTGGCCACCTGCACACTTCCAACCCACAGGAAGTGGGGTCTTGGGTATTCTGACTCAGAGACTACTGGGCCTGCAAGCAGACCCGCATCCCCTCTCCTGGACAGCTCTTGGGGATCCTTCCTGCTCTCTGGTAACACTGAACAGAAGCAGGTCGTTCAATACCTGTAACTTCTCTGCACCTCAGGCAGGGATCTGCCACAGGACTCAGCCAGGACCAGAGCCTGTGCCCTGAAGCTGCCCTGCTCCCAGCTTCCTGTGGGAAGAAGGCTCATGACTCACCTTGCCCCAGGTAATCTTGGTCCTCGTCATTTTCTCTTTCGCTGCTGTAGAGTCTCACCTGCTCTAGCCCCGCCCTGCTCTGGGCTTCCCCAGTCTGGGCTCCCTTGGTGGCTGGTGTCAATCTCCAGCCTTGTTTTCACTTTTCCTACATCAGCTGGGGCTGCCCACGAGGCCAGGTTAAAAGCATGGAGTTGGGACCGCAGTGCACACTCTGCAGCTGCAGCATCCCAGCCGGGACACAGCCACAGACTGAGAGCCACACGGGAAGACCCAGGCCAGAGACAGGGAGCAAGACCCAGGAAGCCAGGGACAGCCTCCAGGGCACGACCGAATGCCCAGCTCCTCACAGACCCCAGAGAGCAGCATGAAGCCAGGTGAGTCCCCAGACTGGTGCGTGGGGTCGTGTCTGCACAGGCCCCATCCTCCAGCCCTCACTCTGTGCTTCTGTCCTCCTGAAACAGCTGGGGGCCGCCTGCTCCTCCTGCTGCTGCTGCTGCTGCTGCTGGCCGCGGTGCTGACGGGAGCCCGCGCTCATCCTGTGCCCAGGGCCACCAGGCTCCCACCAGATGCAAAGGATTGTCACATAGCCCGGTTCAAGTCTCTGCCCCCGCAAGAGCTGCAGGCCTTCAAGAAGGCCAAGGATGCCATAGTGAGTCTCCCTCTGCCCTCCTGTGTGGGCTAGCCTCCACCTCTCCCTTTCTGGGTGTAACCCCTTATGTTAGCCTGTATGAAAGTGCTCTCCACTCTTGCCCAGTGGGCTGACTTAAACTCTTGCTATAGTGGGCTAACCTCAGTCTTTCCTGCAGTGGGCTGACTGCCACCCCTGCTGCAGTGGACTAACTTCCACCATCCTCTCAGTGAGCTAACCTCAGACTCTCCCACACTAGGATGACCTCCACCCTCCCCAACCTGGTCTATCTCTTGCTCTTAGTGCAGGGGCTACCTAGTATCTGCTACCATGGGGGAGCCTCTGTCTTTCTAGCAGTGACCTTCCCTTTTCCACCCCAGCCCCTCTGCAGTGGTCTAGCCTTCACCCTCCTGTATGGGCTAACCTGTGTCTTTGCCCTCCAGGAAGAGTGGCTGCTCAAGAAGGACGTCAGGTGCAGCTCCCGCCTCTTCCCCCGGGCCTGGGACCTGAAGCAGCTGCAGGTGAGCAGGGTCTACACACAGCCTGCTCTGGGGGGGCCGGGGGCGCCCACCGCAGAGCTGCTGGGGCCTGCACCCTCCCTTTCTCGTCCTCACAAGCCGTCCGTGACAGGTGCTCAACCTGACCACACTGGCTGCGGCCCCTCATGTCACCTGCCCCGACCTCTCCCTGTCCCCTTGCCCTGTCCTCTGTCCTGTCCCCTTGCCCTGTCCTCTGTCCTGTCCCCTTGCCCTGTCCCCTGTCCCCTGTCCTGTCCCCTTGCCCTGTCCTCTGTCCTGTCCCCTTGCCCTGTCCCCTGTCCCCTGTCCTGTCCCCTTGCCCTGTCTCCCTCGACTCCCCCACCCCAGGTCCCTCACATGTTGTCTCTGTCTCCTTGCTCAGGTCCAGGAGCGCCCCGAGGCCTTGCAGGCTGAGCTGACCCTCACAGTGAAGGTCCTGGGGAACGTGACTGACCCGGGCCTGGGCCCCATCCTGGACCAGCCTCTTCTCACCCTGAGCCACATCCATTCACAGCTGCAGGCCTGTGTGAGTCCTGGGTCCCTGCTCCTCCACACTGTACCCCAGACACTGGGGACCCCGCATGTGGCAGCGGCAGGCTCACAGTCCCCTCCTCTGTCCACAGACTCAGCCTCAGCCTGCAGCAGAGCCCAGGCCCCCCAGCCGCCGCCTCTCCCGCTGGCTGCACAGGCTCCAGGAGGCCCAGGAGAAGGTGAGTCTGGGGAGGGCACTGGGGTCCGCAGAGCCTGGGAGTCCTGAGCCCCGGCAGCCCCTGAGCCAGCTCTGTCCTCCCAGGAGACCCCCGGCTGCCTAGAAGTCTCTGTCACTTCCAACCTCTTCCGCCTGCTCATCCGGGACCTGAAGTGTGTGGCCAGTGGAGACCAGTGTGACTGACCTTGGACTCTCCCGCCAGCTGCAGGAGTTCTGCAGTGTGTGGACTCACCAAGCCCCTGCCTTAATTTATAGCCACTCAGGGCTTTTAAAAATATTTATTTGTGTGTGGAGTCTTCAGACTCAGACCCCACAGAATGTCTATTTTTCTACTTTTGTAAACTTTCTACAAATACAGAGTGAGAAAAGACCTTTGTGGTGTGTTGTGTGTGTTTTGGTGTCGAGTCTTTCTTTCGCTGTCATGGCAAAGGACCACAGCTTCAGCTCTACAGAGCTGGGCTATCCTGGGCTACTGCTTTCTGCCTCTGGGTGAGGAGTCAATGTGTCTGTCGGGCTCTTCCTGGGTTGTTCTGAGAAAGTCTCCTCTCTGTGGTTCCTGGTGTTGGCAGCAGGCTTCTCTGTGCTCTCCTTTGGTTTGCCTTGGGAGACAGGGCTTCTGGTAGCCCAGGCTAGCCTCAGTTTGCTATGTTCCTGTCTCTCCCATTCCCCCTCTGGAATGCTGGGATTGCACGAGGTCACCACCGTGTCAGGCCCTAACAATAGCCACTCTTCATCTTCTCTTCTGGAACCTTCTCCGAGACAACGTGTGCTGCTCAGAGGGGTGACTCAGCATTCCATTCCCAAAGACAATGGTTCACGATGACACACAGCCTCCTGTAGCTCAGGCTGCCCTCAAACTTACTGTGTGGCTGGGTGACAGGGGTGTGCCACCAAGTCCAGATTTATGCAGTGCTGGGATTGTACCCACAGCTTCATGCACATATGCACACGTATGCAGGTACACATGCCTGTGTGTGTGTGCTCACACTGGCGCATATGCACATGTATGCAGGTACACATGTGTGTGTGTGTGTGTGTGTGTCCATGTGGAGGATGTAAGTGGCCATCAGGTGTCTCCCTCCACCACTCTCCACTTTGATTCTTGAGGTGGGGTCTCTCACTGAAGCAGAGCTCACTGTTTCAGACAGACAGCTTGCCCTGGGGAACCCCTGTCTCCACCTTTGAGTGCTAGGGTCACAGGAGGGTCACATGAGAGTCACAGGAGGGTCACAGGAGGGTCACAGGAGGGCATCACCTCCACACAGCATCTACAGGTGTTCTGGGGATCCAAAGCTCAGTCCTCACACTGTAGTGACAGATACTGTATCCACTGAGCGTCTCCCTGATGCTTGCAATTTTGATTCTAAGATGTCTCTTTCTGGTGAAGGCCTTTCCAGGCTGACCAGATGGCTCTGTGGCTTAAGGCAATTGCCACCAAGCCTGATCACCTGACTTAAGTTTAATTCCAAACCGGACATGGTGAGAGGAGAGAACTGGCTCCTCAAAGTGATCTTCTGACCTTCACACACAACATACACACAGACACACACACACAGACACACACACAGACACACACACACAGACACACACACAGACACACACACACACACACAGAGACACACACAGACACATACAAACTACTGCTACTGTCACCTCACGTAAAAAAGAAATGGGTGTGATGGCACGTACCTTTAATCCCAGGCCTTGGGAGGCAGAGGCAGATGGAAGTCTTTCAGTTTGAAGCCAGTCTACACAGCTAGTTCTGAAGGGTGGAAGTGAGGTGTCCAACCTGAGGACTTCAGTTCCAGGGATTCGGATGGTAGAAGGAGAGAACCAACTCCCTTGATCCCCCGGGGCAGCTGTGCAAAGCCGTTCTCACACACAGATGGTGCCACAGCCTCTCACAAACTCCCCCTTCTCAGTGCCATTGCGGGCACACAGGACAAAGGAACCCTGTCTTCATCGGGTGCAGAGATCAAAACATTTTCCCTGTGATGCGCTAATTCCCAGCTTCCTCCTCTGCATGTTGAGAAACGTCACTGAGGCAGCTCTAATAACTGCAGTAACTGGGAAGCAGAAAGAGACAGGAGGCAGCAAGGTATGTGAGTAGCTGCAAGGGTTCCTGGGGACGGGAACAGTGGCTGCCCTGCGGACCACATTGTGACAGGTGTGAGGGAACATGGCCTTCAGTTGTCCCCCTGCCCCGGCGATGTGAATGCGTTACTCTGAGTAGCATAAGCACACAGGGCTGTGACCCAGGGTGTGGGTGCTGGTCTAGGTGCACTCCAGTTCTAAGGGTGACAGGAGAGTATCATATAGTATTTGTCCTCTGTGACTTACTTGCCACCTATAATATCTGTAAAGTTCATCCACAGTGTAGAAACATCAGACTATCCTTCCTTTTCAAGGTCCTGTAACATCTCATTGTACATGGAGCCCTTAGGACTCCATGCTAATGCAGTGATCCCTTAATAGAAGTTTTATTTTTCGAGACAGGGTTTCTCTGTATTGCTTTGGAGGCTGTCCTGGAACCAGCTCTTGTAGATCAAGCTGGCCTCGAACTCACAGAGATTCACCTACCCCTACCTCCCGAATGCTGGGATTAAGGGCGTGCACCACCAACGCCCGGCTGAAATATTTTTTTTGAGTGGTTGAGCCATTAAGCCCATAGCAATGTGTTGCCGTAACCGATGTATGCTAGAGATGCTACATATCAGTGGGAGGTCACTGACCCATCGCCAGTCAGTAGGGACGCTGATGGACCTAAGGGACGATGGACAGATGGTGGGGAAGGTTGAGGGACAGCAACAAAGAGAAGCAGCCCAGGGGCAGCTGCTGCCAGAGCCACTGGGGTCTCGGAAGTGACATGGGCTGGTCCTTCCAGTTCTGAGGACACAGGGTCTGAAGTGTACCCCTGCCAGCCCCCAGCTCAGCGAGGAGCAGACTGCTCTCTCCTCTCTCTGGTCCTCTGTTTTGTTTCACTTGGACCCAGCTGGGTGGAAACAGCTTGATTCCCAGACACGGAGCGGAATGGAAGAGAAAAAGAGAGGCGCTTGGGAGGCAGAGGCAGGAAAATCATAAGTGTAAGGTCAGCCTCAGGCATGAAGTTAGTGCCAGGCTAGCTGTTAACTGTCATCTTGCTTCAGTCTCCACCCCAAACGACACCCAAGCATTTACACACATGTGCTACCATGCCCAGGTAGTTGATTCTTGCATAAAGCAATCTAAGGTGTCGGGTGGCTTAGAGAGGTGTCAGGAAAGTTGAAAAAGTAGCTTCTATATTGACCATCCAGGCACAATGACTCCAGGAGCCCAGCTATAGACATGAGCCTCCAGGGAATCCCTTTCTTCCTAAATCGGGACGCTGGCTGCTTAATTAGGAACTAGTTTTCACCAGCATGAACTGAAAGCCCCATCATCCAGGAAGTGCCACAGGGATAGACTGACAGTCACCAAAGAACTTCCAGGAGGAGAAAGGAAAAATGGCTCATTTGCCAGCTGATGAGTGGCTTCCTCCAGGCCCACCTTTCATACCTTGTACAATGTGTGCACCTGATTGGAGGAATCTAAATGTAAGGCAGAACCTAGCTGGATGGCAGTCTGAGAATATGCTAGTTTTTTTTTTTTTTTTTTTTTTTTGGTTTTTACGAGACAGGGTTTCTCTGTATTGTTTTGGAGGCTATCGGTCCAGCCCAGCCTCAAACTCACAGAGATCCGCCTGCCTCTGCCTCCAGAGTGCTGGGATTAAAGGCATGCGCCACCACCGCCCGGCGCTAGTTCTTCAGCCTCTGTAGGCAGGAAGTGTAGCTAACGAAGCTCAGGAACACACAGAATGAAGGGATTATGCTGGGGGTGGGGGGTGTGTACAGTGGTCACACCAGCATTCAGAATGGTGAGTTCAAGTCCAGCCTGGGCTACATAATGAGTTATAGGCCAGCCTGGTATACATAGCGAGAACCATTCAGCCCTAAAATACAGAAGGAAGTTAATAAATGTAAATAATTTAGAAGATTCCTTGGCAAGGCACCGGTACTGAAGAAACGTCATTCAGCAGTGAACAGTTCCACTCCCTGTCCGTGGTCCTGAAACATCATCGCTCTCCGGAGCCTAAGGAGGCTATGGGAAGGAGGCTGGACCAGTTCTCCCCAGGAATTCTGAACCAAGAGAGGCAATGGTGGTAGAAAAAAAAGAGCCTAGGGTTATGGGGAATCTATAGAGAAAGGTCTCAGAGAAATGAAGAGGGCTAGGTGTCTGTTGAACCACATGTTTAGCATTCCGTGGCTCAGGAAGAGCACAGGTTCCAGGCCAGCCTGGGTTATAGAGCAAGACCTTGTCTGGAAAACATGAAGGGGTCTGGAGAGATAAATCAATCTGTAAAGTGCTTGCCTTGCAAACTTGAGAACCCAAGTTTGACCCCCAGAACCTGTGTGAAAAGCTAGGCACAGCGCCATTGAGGAGGCAGAGACAGGAGATGATTACTCTCGCAACATCCAGTCTAGCCTAATGGGTGAGCCTCGGGTTCAGCGAGGGCCCCATCTCAAAATTATAATAATAATAAAGAGAATAAGGGACCAAGATGCCACAGAGAGTACAGCATTTGCTGTGCAAGTCTGACAGCCTGAGCTCGGTCCCTGGAACCCACATAGAGGTGGAAGGAGAGAACCAACTCCACGACTCAATCCCCACATGCACACCACGCCCAGACACCACATATGCATCTGATAATAGCAATGAAAACAACTTGTTAAAAAATAATGTGCCTGGGCTGTGGTGGCACACACTTTTAATCCCAGCACCAAGGAGGCAGAGGCAGGCGGATCTCTGAGTTAGGAACAAAAAGTTCTAGGACAGCCAAGGTTATTCAGAGAAACCCTGTCTTGAATAATAATAATAATAATAATAATAATGAGAATGGCATCCTGAGGAATAACATCCAAGGTCGTTCTCTGGCCTTGCCACATAGACACACACACACACACACACATACACACAAGCACACACACAACAGCACCAGAGACACAAACACACAAGCACCTCCTCCCACACACACACATACACACACCACACACTTGCAAACACATCAGAGACAAAAATACACACTCGAGCTAGAGAGATGGATCAGCAGTTAAGAGCACTGACTGCTCTTCCAGAGGTCCTGAGTTCAATTCCCAGAAAGCACATGGTGGCTCACAACCATCTATAGTGATATCTGGTGCCCTCTCCTGGTGTGCAGACACACATGCAGGCAGAACATTGTATACATAATAAATAAATCTTTAAAAAATACACACACATATATACACACACAAACACACAACACAAACACCACACACTCACATACAAACACTACACACACACACTCAAAAAACT